TTATTTCTATCCAAAATCGCCGGTTTCACTCACTCGATGCATAAAAGTGGAGTAGTACCAACAATCAATACGAAACTAACGGTTTTAAATTGGCTCAATACTTGACTAGCCTATTGGTCCCAAGCAAACGATTAACGTACCCAATTCTAGTCGAAATTTTAGTACTACACAATGTTTGTTTTGATTCGCTATGAAAGTTTGACAGATAAAATGAGGGGCTAGTGGATTTTCCTATGTTTCGAGGGGTGAATCGATTAGCTTGGGACAGAAGAGCTGAGCCAAAAAGTTGAGCACGTTTCTTCGGGACCTGCTAGTCTTAGAGTTACCTCTATGGTAGTACTGGCTTGTATAAATAGAGTTTACACTTTTTAGTCAAATTTAAACATCTTTCAGTTATTTTGGACAAAAATACTTTTGCATATATAAATTAATAAATGATCCATACAAAATTATAAACGCCCCTTAAAAACACCCAAATAATTCATAAAATTCCGGTGAAAATCTTTAAAAAAAGTGTGAATGATCCATAAAGAATGTCACTATGATCCATATTTTAAGTAAAATTTTACAACACTGTTTTTTTAAGAATGAGCAAACATATTTCGAATGATCCATAGAACGTTTACCAATAAACCATTAACTAAGGAAATTTAGCTAAAGAAATTCAAGCTACCGCACTAAAAATTATAGGATAGATCCAAAAAAAACGGGATTGAATCCACAATATTATACTCAGTTAGCAAAGTCGGTCGCTGCTAAGCCACCGAGCCCCTTTAATCACAACAAACCATTACGATCGCTAAAGCCTGGCAACATGAAGTTATTCAAATGGAATCAATTTTTCCCGGGTGTCCATCATATTTTTTCTACTCTACCTATCGACCCATCAACTCATGGTCCGGTGACCCATGGCTTTAGGAAGGAAGGCGTGATCATGGATTTTATGCCGCAGAAAATCCCGACGGCTGGGATTGAACCAAGGCCCTTTGAAGTGCGATGATGTCACGCTTACCACTACACAAACAGCACCGCTAATGCTTCGAGTTGACAGTGAATGATTTACATCGTGAAAAATATGCCAGCTCACAAAGAGACTGATACTGAGAAAACGTGTCTACAAGGCTACACAGTTATTAATTAAGAGCTTTCGATGCCAATACCAATGCACGAATCTGTATATTGTGTGGCAAGCACAAAGATACTCTGCCCAGGGAAGTCGAGAAAATTTCCAACCCGAAAGATTTTCTCGACCAGACCGGGAATCGGACCCGCCACCTCCGGCTTGGTAATACCGTGCCTTTACTGACCAGGCTATGAGGCCCCATGAATGATATTTATTGCGACTAAAAATGAGCAAAAAATCAAGAAGTTATGTTTATTTTATTTCAAGAAAATAAGGTTTTTCAAGAAAAAGGCGTTTTCCTTAGATTGCTCTAACTTTTTGCAAGCTCAACCAAATGTGCCCAATACTGAGCCAATAGTTGATAAATGTATGCTGAGTCAGCTGCCAAAAATTCAGAGACGTATCTTTTAAACTTTTGCTTTTAGAACCATTTTTCTAAAATTTAAGTACTGCTGTACGATCAATTTTGAGATACACTGTACATATATTAGGCAGCATTGTGTATTTTTAGATTAAAGACCTTAGTCTCATGATCTACGGTGGAGCTCCAATTGTGAGCCCACGCAGTACAATGTTTTTTTTTAGTTCTTTATTAAGGAGATTTTTAGCCTATGGCTAGTTCATCTCCGATCACGCAGTATAATGCAATACGACAGGAATCTGCTGCAGATTTCAAGCGTTTTCCCAAATCATTTGAAAGGCTCAATTAAGGGAGCTTTACGGAGCCGTGATTTATTTGTTGTAGCTTTTCATATTTACTCAAGTCTAGGTCCAGTATGAGTGAGACCGTATACTCGTGCGATATGAAATGACTACTGTAGTTGAAATTTAAATTTGAACATTTTCTTTTCTTAAAGAATTCCTTAACCATGATACTCAAAACAGTTTAACCAGTTAAGATAACTGAAAATTACAATATATCTACATATCGCGGCTCAGTTGACCCTCAGTAAACACCGCCCAATATGATATGCCAAGCAGAACCGCGCAATTATCGGAACAGTGACAACAGGTTTTTGTTTGCTACCCCACCTTGTGTTTGTTTGTAGCAGGTCTCCGACGTTCTCTTCCTCTGTCAACCTATCTCTCTCTCTGATTAAGCCGCCAAAAACGAGGCGTAGGATCACGCGCATCATCAGCCCTCAAAACGTTGCAAACTCCCGAAAGTTGCCGTATATTCCACAATCAAAAACATTCAAAAAACGCCGAGCATAACAGGACAAGCATATAAAAGCGACAAAAGCCGGTTCCAATTGTTTATGTCGTTTGAAATTGAAATTTTCCTCCAGCCCTCGGCCGAAAGGATGAATAATTTGATTGCTCTTTCTCCCTTTTTCGGGACACGGCCGATGCGCATCGATCCGCTCTTTGATCGGCGGGCGCGTTTTTTCATGTACGACGAAAAAAAAACTGGATCAATGCCGGATTTTCGGCAGCAACTTGGCCCAGGGAGGCAAAAACAAAAGTTGACCACTTTTGACGAAGACGAATCATTTGGCGGCATTTCGGCTGTGACGTTTTTTACGACTTTTACTTTGATTGCGCGATGCCGAGCTTCTGTTTAGAATAAATTTGAATGGAATGTCCTCATTCCTGCGAGCGAGCGAGCGCAGTAGTCCTTGGCATTCCTCGCCGGAGGAATGTGAATCGTTCGATTTGAGGACAGTAGTGGAGGAAATAAAAACTAGCTACTGCGACTACTGGCACAGAATTCTTCAACGTTGCTCCACTGAGATGCAGACCCGTTTAGTTTTTTTGTCAGCAGGAATATTAAATTAAAATTCTTGAATAAACATAGTAGTCCTTGGCTTTTTACGGTGACAAAAAACCGAAGTCATGTTTTCCACAATTAGCTTAATTTACACGAACCAGTTAAACAACGAGATTACTCGCACTTTGCATTTTTGATTCGCTGATTTTGTCTCTGTTTTGCTAATCAGCACAGAAAAAAAGATCATTGCGATCTGGTAAAAACAAATGTATATAGTATGTGATCAAAGGAAACCGCATATAATTAAATTATTATGTGCATTATAAATCAACGGAAAAGGTAAACTGTGGCTGGTAGAGATCGAGAATTTTACCGAGATATTTGCCTTTCATTACTGTTGAGTTAATATGGTCACCTGAGGGCAGCTTGTGAGAAGTTTCCTTGGATAAATACGCCAATTATACGAAAACTGCTGATCATGCGTCGAATCTGTGCTATGATACACTTTGATGGATCGCGGTAGCCAATCAAGTGGCCAACGGTGCAAAAGGATTAGTCATACAGACGCATGTATGCAGACAATCAACGCCACCCTAATGTAGTTAGTAGATGTTGTCAAAGGAGGTTCCGAGAAACAAAAAGTGACGCAAAAACCTCAAAACATTACGGTAGCGTTTAGTTCCTGATTTGAACTTCGACGGTAGTGCGGAGCAACTGTGTCGGTTCCTTTGATCTGGACAGACCTGGTATGTTTCTTCTGCTTAAATGTGGCGCTGTGTTCTCCAGATTTAGTCAAACTGTCACGTCGTCGCCATGACAACGTGGAGACGACATCGACGATCAACGACTGCTGTGATGCGTGTTGTACGCGATCGATTGAAGGGTTTCCACTCGTAATTTCGCGCAAGAGTATATAAATTTAATATGAGAGAGAAGAAAATCGGTACACCTTTGCTAAATTGGCACCGTTTAGCTGCTGCCGGCATGTATGCATGCAGAGGGCGAGAAACTGAAGGATGCACGAATCGAGTGCAAAATGTAATAGCATTCGCACGGTGACTTCTCGCACCGACATATTGAGACACAACCAGCGTGATCTCTCACGCCGGGAAACAACGATCAGACTCATGCACCTATGTGAATCTTAAACGATGTGAATTTGTATAAGCCCTTCAGGTTATTAGTTTACTTTGAAATAATATTGATGTTGAATGTGTAGGTGATGGGTACAATCCGAATCATTAATCAAAAATGCTTCAAAATGTTTACAAGATGTTTCAAATTAACAAACTCATCACAAATTCAGTTTTGCGATAAGAACCACTGCGTTTTGTAAAAAAAAAAACTCAAATTAACATGTCATGGACAAATTGATGGAAACGTGACCCATTAATGAACCCACCGAACGACAATTCACTTCCGCACCTACTTTTTGCAAACATCATACACTTCTGCATTCAACAACTTTTTGTTCCTACCCTCTTTGGAAGCAGATCTTGTCATCATTGCGTTTCGTATCGGTGTCAAATTGTTTCTCTTAATTATTAAATTATTACCCAAACCTCCCATTAAGCGAATAAGCGCTCCATCCACGTTCGAACGCGTTCTGCTGACTTTCGTGAAGTCATTTAGGCACATTAGTACATCAAAGGCAATTATTTTAATAAGAAGTTAATGAACTGCGAAGCGTTGAATTGAAGCGTAAAAATTACCAAAGAGATAAATTTCCATCATCATTAGCTACCGCAGCTGGCAACTTCAATGGCACTTCAATGCGATCCGCAAAGTGTGCCCTGATCAGCTGCTGCAATGTTCCGAATCATGCAAATGTGCAATCAAACAAAAATAATAACACTCATGCCAACCCAAAGCATACGTATTTGAATTCTTTTACAACCTCAGTGACACGTCGTAAAATTAGTCCCCACTCTCAACTATCATGAAAAATATAGGAAATACCTTAAACACAGGTGCATTAGTCACGCTTGCACCATCAGGAACAGGTAGCACCTGAGCCAAACAAGCCACAGTTGGCGGTGATAAATTACAAAACAAACAAAAACAAGCAGTTTACTGTGTTTTCTCATTCACCTTAAAATGTGATCATATACCGCGGCACATGGTTCCTATGTTTGTAATAGAATCAATTAAAATTTTCTTCTACTAATAAGAAACCCTTTGCAACTAATTAACGGCTTTCTTCCCTTTTCGGAACGCTTTTTGACAGAATTGATAAATTTCTAATAGTTTCGGCTGTATTTAATTTACCACCAAAAGCAATAAATTAGATTTGAATGGCTGAAAAGATTGTGCTGATATGGCCTTTGGGAATTTCCTTTCGACCATCATCGGACGTCAGCTCAGTGAAGCATCGTAGCCGCCAGAGATCCGTGAAATTCCTAAAAATAAAAATAACTCCAGTTGCATATTCATCACATTGGCCCCGGTCAGCGCACGTACATACGAAATTTCCGTAAGTGATTTCTCACTGAGCTGCAATCAAATTAAACTACCGAAATCCATTAAGCTGCAGTAAACCCTCGAAGCACAACGTAATGCCTCTTGGGCGAATCAGAACGGAGCTGAAAAATTTTCATAAACAAAATTAATTATTTAACAACATGTAGAAAGCAAATGAACTTCAATAGCCTACACAAATTTGGAGCTGGCTTCCTCGGAGGTTGATCCACACCTACAGGATGGAACAAAGATTGATTAATTCATCGCAAATATTAAGATAAGCTAGAATAACGAACGGAAGGTCAAAAATCGTACCTTCATTTCGAGTCCGTTGAGTGCTTCAAACTGCTACATCGTACCTTGTCTTCATGGGGATCGCGATCTGCGGGATAACAAGAGAATGAAAATTAAAACCAGCTATAAATAAGATATCAGAGCTTTTCATGAACAGTAAACATTTTACTGCAAATATTAAAGATGAGCTGAAATGAAAATTGACGTGAAATGTAAAGCAACCACAGATTATATTTGGGTTATAAACTAGGATTAAAACGTCACTTTTCTGACAGTTCACCATCGATCGAAGCTCGTTTCACGAGTACGTCGTGTTGATTAAAGCCTCGGCTTGTAAGAGTATTCTCATTAATAAATCATACGGCCTAAATGATGCGGCTGTAGTTTGTAAGTTCCAGCCAATAATGCTTGCCTTCCCTTGCGTATTGTGGAGCAAAATTTAACAGTTTGGCAAATTCGATGTTTTACGGTAAAATTAAACGTAATTAGTTGGAGGTTATCTTACCACGAAAAGACGTGCATTTAATGTTGCTGGAGTTTAAAATAATAATTTCGCTCTGATTTAAAAAGCTTCATTTGCTAGTTTCGAACGATATCAACAATCTACGAGTCTTAGGATCGAAGTGAGCTCTGCTTTTGTACGGACGCGAAAAATTTCCGAGTGTCAAATATTCGGTTCTATTTTTTCTAGAATTGATTTTTTTTTTTTTTGTCGCGATTTAGTTCGAAACAATGTGCCACTAGATAGCATAGTTCTATAAAAAAAGAACTTTAGTGCAAAGGAATTGCATTATAAAGTGTTTTTTTTTTGTTATCAGCATCCTTTGGTCAGTACTGTTATTAGGCAATAAGCAGGCTGGCCCGATTATTCTGATTGTAGGCGGATTGTGCTAGAGTTTCTTTGAAGATCCGATGGAATGTTGTGAAATATTGAGCTAGAATTAGAAGATGCACAGTCTTTCATGCTATTTCTGCATGAACAAACCATCGTTCACTTAGTAAGTTCGCTCCTGTTTATTTATTCACCTGTTTTGGTAACTTTTATCAGCTTTCTGCAACTGAATCTTAGACATAATTTCGAAGAGCCGCTTTCGTGCTGTAGTGTGTCAAGTGTGCTATTTTCAAAGGTTGTGAATGAGTGGGAATGGCCAAGTTCCAGCACCGATTTGCCATTGGTTCATTTGACAAGAGAGTCATCATACTGCTGTTGTTTCTGCCTTTACACGTTTGTTCAGCGTTGGAAAATTTTGTGATATTTTATGAAGCTCATAAAAGGAAACCTGGGTGTGACTTTTGGCGAACTTTTCCTGTAAGTTGATTAGAGACCCGCTTTATCACAGTTATAAAAAGGAGGTTAGAACTACACAGATAATATTTTGAAAATTTTCAACCACCAACTGGAACAGGTATTGGAATGTAAAATTACACGTTTAACGATCTGAAATCTAATTAGTTAAATTAGATTTAGCTGTAATGAGTAATCGTCATGAGTGAGTACTATTCGTTATAGCTAATTACTAATTCTGACAGTCTGGAAGCAAAATTTGCAGATTTTATGTGTCATAAACAAACTTCACCTTCTCTACTTGCATCTTACATGTACCAATTATTATTATAATATCTCATAGTTTCATAATTTCGAAAAATAGTATTTTAGCTGTAATGAGTAAATTCAGGCCTGATTACTACCCTTCATCAAGCCACAAAGAAAACCCTTTGTTCTTGCCCGATTGCATCATGCCATTATACTAAAACTATGAAGCAAATCAAGTGAATATTGTACAAAAAACCGCAAATCCGCCAAATTGTCCAGAGTTACGTCCAATCGAGAGATATTGGGCTTTGATGAAGCGGAAGCTTTCTGGAAAGAAACAAGGAATCAAAGGCACTTCCAACAACTATGTTTTGACTTCGCGAATTTTTAAATCATATCCCATTAATCTGAAATAAACAACAACAATTGAAATATAACGCGAAATGTGTGTTTTACTTAAGTTTTGATGTGTCCGGATTATTTTGGATACAGACCTTACTAAATTTTAAAACTACAAGCATTTTCAAACTTCTTTCCCATACCTTGCCATGCAAAATTTTAATATCTGTATCAGGCTTGATTTTTTTTTAAGATGGAGGCCTATTGAGTTGGATTGTTTTATCATTTAATTTCAAGGCTATTTTGGTGTTTTCAGGCCGTTTTTGAGATTTCAATATCATTGAGGCATTTTAAAATAAGGTTAAGAAATTTAATTTGGACTGTATTGGGCCATTTTAAGCGTCTACTGGACCAACGCGACGTTTAAAGATTATTATAAGAATTGTCGTTATTGTAGAATTATCAGTCCAGTTCAAATATGAGAAAATTAATCCACTCTCACGAGCATCACTGAAACAAAATAGCCATTCTCCGGCTGCACACAGATTTCTGAACGAGTGTAAATTCTTCCAACCAAGTGACTCTGCATGTAGACTTGGAACTGAAAGCAATAGAACGAACGAGGGATAAACTGAAAAACAGCCGAAAAAAATTCTCTACCGAGGGAGTACCCAACTCAACGTGGAAAACCGAACGCTAACGATTTAATTCAGCTAATTCGATATTTTTTGGCTCAGTGATTTGAATCAGTTGAACTGACCACAGCAGTTTTACAGTATTTGCGTGACACTTTACGATAATGTAATATAATACGTTCCCCATGTTAATGTTAATTTAAATGTGTTTTTGTTTTATTGATGTTTTACATCAACAGGCTGGATGAAGCCCAATGATGTTAACCTTGTCAACTATAGTTAAACAAATACATTCAAATATGGTCATAGCATAAAAAAACATATATCTTATAGTCAGTTACTCCTGCCGGCGAAAAACAGAAGAATACCGTTTGCGTAATAATGTTTGCACCATCGTACAAATAAGGTTCCCGTTTCACCTGTGCATACAATGCCTTGGTTTTCTTTGTATGCACGTAACCTTTATCTTATACCGTAAAGAAAATGATTTACTTAGTTTGACAGTTGCACCATGACGAAGTGGCAGCGTATTCGTGATTTTTCCCACGCGCAAATGTCGCAAAAAGACATTTCAATCACCGTGGGAGTGTCCTGGTGAACCGTCAAAAGGGTTTTAGACCGAGAAAAGAAAGGACAACTATCCGCGAAGGTGGTCACAGGTCGTCCGAGATCAGCTCGGGTTCCGAGGGTTATCGCTGCTATCAAAAGGAAGATTCGGGCGAATCCAGTGCGTTTAATAAGGAAAATGGCAAAGGAACACGGGATCAGTGACTTTACGGGAGGAAGATCGTAAAGGAAAATTTCGGGGCAAAGTATTTGTATTTCAACAAGATGGGTCTCCGTTCCACACCTCGAACCGCACACAGAAGTGGTTGCAGGAACATCTTCCGTTCTGGGCGAAGGATATGTGGCCGCCATCCAGCCCCGATCTTAATCCGCTTGATTACACAATATGGCGCGTCATGAAGGCCAAGGCCTGTTCTAAACGCCAACCGAGTACAGCAAGCCTCAGACAAACATTGACCCGTAACTGGAGAGAAATGGATCCAGACTACATTATTAGAACCTGCCGTGCATTCCGGAAGCGTGTGGAGGCCGTAATTTCAGCAAGTGGAAACTTGATTGATGATTAACATAGTTTAAGACTCTGAGAAACATCCCCCCTTTGAATAAATAAAAAAAACTCCAAAACGAGAAATTTTTTTTAATTTTGCATTGCTCAATGGTGCAAACATTATCACGCATACGGTACTTTCGACGAAGCGCATCACGGGAAAGATGAAAGTCGAGAACAGGTGCAACTCTGTTGAATGTTCTCTGTAGTCCGCAAATCGCACCGTAGAGGCAGTCTTAGCATAAGGTTATTACGAAGCGGTCGAGATTTAACATTCAATGTCAATTTGCCTCAGGATAGCCTCGCAATTTGTCCTTCTTTGAGGATATCGGCCACGGTTAGGGCTCTGCTTGAGCCTCTTCTAGTACTGAGAAGTTCTTGGTCGATAAGTTCACAACGGCTTTCGTAACTGGGTAATCGAAACGGATCATTCCAAGGTAATCTACGCAACGCAAAACGAAGAAAGCGACGTTGAACAGATACAATTCTCTCGGCACCGTTGTTGTAGTTTGGATTCCAAACCGCTGAACAATACTCGAGCGTCGATCGAACAAGCGAACAATAGAGAGATTTTAAACAGTAGATATTGGTGAAGTTTTTAGCTATCTTAAAAATGAACCCTAAAGTATGCAATGTGTTACTTGAATCCAAGATCACACCCAAGTCTTTCACCTGATTCACGTGTTCGATTGTTGAGCCAAGCAGCTCATAGCTAAAAATTATCGGTTGTTTTTTTTTTTTTCCTTTGGTTTGTTTTTTTCCGTCGATCTTGTTTTCCGTGCTGAGCACCAATGCTACCGACGTGCCAGGAAGGCAGCTCCCACACCTGGACCCTACCTATCGACCCATCAACTCATGAACCGGGGACCAACGGCTTTACTTCCCATCCGAAGGAAGGCGTGATCAGAGATGTTATGCCTCAGAACATCCCGGCGGCGCCGACTGGGATTGAACCCAGGCCTGCTGGGGTGAGAGGCAATCACGCTTACCACTACACCACCGGCGCCGTTATCGGTTGTTGTTTTCGTGAGAACGTAATAGCGGAGCATTTGACTGGGTTCACTAACATTCTGTTTAAACTGCACCAACTAGCGAACATATTCAGCTGACGTTGAAGAAAGTGACAGTCAGCAATGGAGCGGATTCGTAGGAAGATTTCGAGGTCATCTGCATATGATAACCGAGGAGCTTCGATGATCAGATGCACGTCGCTGAAGTACAGTATAAAAATCAACGGTCCCATATGACTTCCCTGAGGTATACCTGATGTGGCAAAGAAGCTAGCTGATCTGCAATCTCCTATGGCAACCTTTAGTTGGCAACCGGTATGATCGAAACCAACTCAGAAGATTACCGCATACACCGAGCCTGCCGAGTTTAGCAATCGCAATAGCATGGTTCAACTTGTCAAATGCTGCGGATAGGTCTGAATAAATAAC